CAACGAATGAGAAAATAAGGTGAAGAAGAGTGACTTTTTTAGGGGTAGTTTAAATATTTCATCTTAAGTTTACTATAATAAAAAACATGCAACTCATTTTGGAATGGACCAAAAGTCAGACAAGCAATTGAAAATGAGATAGAGAAAGTAATACGGAGGAGTAATAATGATACTATGCCACCAATTTTGATATGGAGTAAGAGTTATTTTTGTATAAATACTAATTGTGACTGATAGAAATTATTATGTTTGAGATACTAGTAATATCATTACTGAGTTTATTCTAGCATAATCCTTCTAGGAGTAGTATGACACCATATGTTCTTGGATCACACTCATAATTATTATTTATGTATGTTTGTAAAGAAAACATGGCATTAAAATTGATTCAAAGCCAATTTAGGCAATTAATTTTGACCACGTTTGGCATCAATGTTAGAAGTAATTGTTTGCGTTTTGAAAAGACTATGTCACAGAAGTTTTATTGTTAGTATTTTTAGAATTAATCTATATCGTTAAACTTTAGTTTAAAATGCCAACGCTACTTGGAATCATTGTTCTCAAACAAGGCTTTTGTAGGTGTACTATAATGACTTATTCCTTTTGTGTTTAATACTTCATTTGTTTCCATTGTGATTTTTTTATTTTTGATTTTATTTTAAAATCAATTTATTTGAAAATTTTGGATAGAAATAATAAATAAAATTTACATTTTTAAAAATTATATCAAAATATTTAGAAAACAACATCTGATATGACTTCATAAAGTCATTTACTATTTGGGTTCTGAACTAAACTACAACTTTAGTATTCCCAAAGCACTATTCCAACTTCACGGGAATTTATATTTATTTGTGCTTTTTCATGGCCTATATGATAAAATAAAATATTCTTGTCACCACTTGTTTTGCTAAACTTTTGATGTAGTTTTTAAATATGTATGTTTTATTTTTTATTTCTATACCAATATTTAAATAAAATAGATTGAAAAAACTTTGAATTTTTCTTCGTTTTGCGAACTGAGAAGATCATTATAGGACGGAGGGAGTAAAAATAATAATGATAGATATATAATACTAATAAAAATAAAAAAGGAATGCATTAATTAAAATGTATGGTTAATCAAAGAATCATAATTTAAATATTGGGTTCCTCGAACATGTTATTTTGGTTTGATATAAATGTAAGTGTGACTTGATCAAACCTAAGTGTTTTTGGCATGTCTTTTTGTTTTTCTTTTTGGCTTGAATCTTTTTTGTGTTTTTTTGTCTAATGTAACGTGATTAGATTCCAATTAAGATTGACATTAGATGCTCTGAAATATTTTAATTCTGATTGGTTTTAAATATTTTTTATTTTATCTGGTTTAACTATAACAATTATCAATTGAAGCTTGTTTTCATTTTTAGTAACAATTACATAGTACTATGTCTATTTTTTATTTGTCCACTGACATAAATAAAGATAGTGGACAAAGAATGAAAGAAGTACTCCCTCCGTCCCAAATTATAATGCCTGTTTACTATTCACAGGGTCAAATTTCATTCACTTTCTTTCTCTATTTTCGTTAGCAATTTGATAAAATAAAATATTATTGTCACTACTAGTTTTGTAAATTTTTTGATGTAGTTTTTTAATATGTAATTTTTATTTTTTAATTTTATACCATTTGTCATATAAAATAGTTTGAAAATAATTTCAGTCAAACATCGTAAACCGAAATAGGCGTTATAAATTGGCACGGAGGTAGTAGTAATTATAAACTCGAACAGGAATCGAAAGCTATGCAGTATTTGGCTCTTGCTTGCGAACGTAACATTATTGATAAAAACTCAAAAAATAATGAAAGTAAAAAAAAAATCCGACCTGCCGGATTCGAGCCAGCGACCTAAGGATCGGCTGTCAGGTTGAACGCCTACTACAGTCCTCCGCTCTACCATCTGAGCTAAGGTCGGTTGTTGTTTCACATTATTCTTTTCGAAATGTAATACGTAAACGCCGCTATCTAACCTCAGTTTAACAAAAAAAGCAAAAATTGGATGGGGTGAGAGAGGCTCGAACTCTCTTTAAGCTATGAGACCTACGCGCTAGCCAACTGCGCCACCACCCCGACGATGCCTTAATTAATTGATAGTTTTCTTTACATCTCCATTTTTTTATACACAAACAATATAAGTGTAAGACCCATCCGTGCTTCATAAGAGTATCCAATCAGCTTGGATCTATCTCAATACCCTTTTGGGGGGATTTTTAAAGATTCTAGATTTCAGCTAGAAGTGAGCAAGTACCGAACCGATACTGAAATTTACCAAAAAAAACCTGAGAATACCGAATCAAAAAATACCGAACCGAAAAAGTATCCAGAATGAACCAAACCGTACCGAACCGAATGGTCGGTACGGTATTCGGGAACGGTACGAGGTGACGTCCCATACCGAAAATCCCGTACCGAACATATATACTAAAATATTATAAAAATAATACCCCGGAGTAATATTTTTATATATTCCTTCACTAAATTATAATTTTTTTAAAAAAAAATTGGTTCAAGTTTTATTATGTGTAAATTATACTTTTATTTGAGTTTTAATTATTGTGTATGAGCATAAAAGTATTCACAAAGATTCAAAATACTCCTTTGTTGTCATTCATATTTTAGTTTGTGAAATATAAACTAAGTTTTTGATACGCATCTCTTACATTTAAATATTCATTTTTTTAAATTTTTCATGTTTTTTTATTTAAATTCACTTTTAATTTTCAAAAATAAAAGGGCATTGTTAAATTTTAACGTGTAAAGTATGTATGTATCTTCATCCCGATTTGTACCAAAACTGACATCGAACCATCCTGAACCATACCAAACCGATATTTCGGGATCGAGATCGGTACGAAGTAAAATCCCATACCGAACCAAAATATTTGGTACGGTATCGGTACGAGCTAAATACCGTACCAAACCGTACCATGCTCACCCCTAATTTCAGCCATCCCTGCTCTATAAAATACTTAATTTGTTCCAATTTTGGTTAACAAGCTCCAAACAAATTAAAGGCATTCAATCCAAACCATTACACTTGAAACAAAGTTATAATCATATGAATTTGAGAAATACCATCGCATTTTAGGTTTTTCGCTGTCAATTCTGTTCTGGAGATTATTTTAGAAATAGACATCCCAAATTCAGTGGGTGAGATGACGGAGAAGAAAGGCAACAAACATTGTAGTGAGAGAAAGCATCGTTATATGCTCGCCTGTGGAGGTGCTCCGACTCGAGTATGACGTCATCGCAGTCGAAGATCAATGCGTCTTGAGCACTACACGCCAAAGTATGACTCGATAGTGGTTTTAATTGAGAACGCATACAACGCACGGTAAACCAGATTCTGGTGTTTTATGGGAATATTATTATTGTGAGCATTTCATTAAGCATTAGTGTATTGTTCTTCAATATCATCATAATTTATACCACGCCTTTTTTTCAAAAACGAGTCTCTTTACTTGTAAGTATAGAACTAAGATATTAGATATGCATATTGCCTCTAATCTTGTTAACTTTATTGTTGTTGTTGTTAGTTCTTTTAAGACATGAATATAACACAGGAATTGGGGGTCATCGGGCTCTTGGAAGTATTCTTAATGCCAAGGTATCCACGGCAAGGATGAGTTTAAACGTGTCATCACAGCACAATGTAAACATCATCTTATATAAAAGGCTCGGAGCTTAAAACCGAGGACCGATATATATCTTCATCTGCAATGACATGGGGTATGCACCATGTCCCGAGAGGAGGCCCACTTTTCTTCCCACCTAATGGGTCGATAAAAACATTGGATTAGAATTCAATATAATTAAAATCATTCGAAAAGGAACTTAGGATTTTCGAAAGAGAGGGCTTTGGACAATGGAGGAGCTATAAACTCCTCCAAACTCATGGGGTCTCACATAAAACCAAACACGACATTTGTATTCTTCGATTTTCGTACCCCCTACTCTCCTTGCTTGAACCAAACAAGGGTAATATGGGTATATAGAGCAACAGTGAAGGCCATCAGAAGACAGATAGTTACCACATACCTTCTTTAGTAGCTTCTTCACATCTTTTCTGATACGTGACAGATAGTTCGGGATCTAGCGCTTTCAAAAGACTGTCATACTTCTCCTCTGCTTCTGTTATGTGTTTCGCCTGAAAACCCAACCAAGTTAAAAGACCATATGAGCAAACAACACAAACTATAGATAAAGAGATGATTTGAGTACATACAATGACACTAACAACGAGAAACAAAGCATATAAAAGCACACATGTATACGCTACATATTAAGGTAAAAATGGACCAGACTACAAACTAAGGCCCAAAAGTATACCCAACTACTCAAGTAAAGATTGGTAAAATGTGAGACTTAATTAGGAGATGGAGGGAGTATATGCTTACCAGAATGGCTGGTGCG